CCGAGAGCAGCAGACCGGCCCGGCCAGGCCTCCAGCCCGGGACGCTGGCCCCGCGCTCCCTGCTCCACCCCACGGCGGGGGAGTCTCACACGGACGCCGCCCTCTCCCCCCGAGGGACTGGGCGCGCAGTGTCCTGTGTCTGTCCCCAGCTGCTGGGCAAGAGCCTCCTCCCTTCCTCCCTCCCTGCGACGCCTCTGGGCTGTTATTGTTGGCTGACGTGAGCAAGGTTGAGCTCGGGCCAAACATCTGCTCATGGCTCCTGAATGTGCTCCCAGGCAGACGGGCAGGAAGCGGCACCGCCCTTGAGCGGCAGCGCCAGGGCCTGCGAGCGGCCACTCCAGGGCACTGCCCGCTTGCTGGGGGGCTGGGGGGCCGGGGGCTTCCCTGAGCTGCGGCCTCGTCTCCTTGCCGGACCGGGGTGCTGGGAGGGAGGCGGGACAGCCCTCTTCGCTGCCGTCCTTCCCTCTTCCCCAGAAGGGACACGGCCAGGCCCCCCGGGGATGGCTGGGGTGGAAGGGAGGGGCCTCGGAGCCCCCCACCCCTCCCCCAGGGACAGGCGTGGGTGCGGGCGTGCCCGAGTCTGGGTTCCTCCGGAAGCAGAGCCGGAGACACAGATGGGAGCGCAAGCAGTTTATCTGAAGTGCGAGCATCCGCGGGGCTGGGAAGCAGGGAAAGAGGAAAGTAGTCAAGTGTCTGAGTAAGAAGGTGATGGATGGGGTGGGGGTGCGGGTGACCGGGTCCCCCTCCCACTGAGGGGCCTGGAAGGCAGGGGGAGCCTCAGGAACACGCCTCAGGGGCGAGCACAGTCCCTCACCCCCACCTGCCACCGATGAGGGCAGCCCGGGCACCGGCTTCCCAGCTTTCCCGGCCCCGGTGTGGAGCCGACCAGACGGCGCCTGGGACACCTGCGGTGAGGACACACGGGCCTGGGGCAGGACGGGCAGCCGGTGCCACCCCGGGGAAGGCCAGCAGCGGGTAGCTGGGGTGTGACCGGTGGTCTCCTGAGCCCCTCCCCGCTAGGACGTAAGCTCATGTCTGCCTGGCTTGGCCTCTGTCACCCTGTCTCCTCTGCCCTTGAACCTGCCTCTGCTCTGGCTTCGCGCAGAGCCCAGGCCCCGGGATGGAGTCACAGGACCCTGGGCCCCTCTGCCTTCATCCTGTCCTGCGGCGACCTCCCTCCCTGCCCCGGGTAGCGTCTGCTGCTCCCTTCGGCGGGAAAGTGGCCTTCGACCGCGAGCATTGCTGGACACTCGAACGCAGACTCAGCTCGGCAGGGACAATGTGACTCCCCCCTGTCATACCAAGCCCTTGCCCGGCTCTCTGCTGGCCAGACACCCTGGGGGGCCTTCTCTCCTCCTTACCAAGGGCGGCTTCCGACCCTCGGGGGTGGAGCTCAGGGGCGTCGGGCAGCCCCTTCCTGAGCACTGGCCCCTGGGTTCTCCACCTTGGATCTGCCCACAGGCCTGTCTGGCTTGGGGGCTCTGCTGAGGCCTTTGGGGACCCCCCCCACTCCCGGGCGCTCACCCCGCTTCCTGCACGAGGCCCCCTCTCAGACTCTGATCACCCCCCTTTCTTCTGGGCTCTTCCTGCCGAGGTGTGCACACTCTGCTGGGACACCCTCTGAAGTGACCCCACAGCGCGCTTCACACCTGCTTTCTATCTGCCCTCAGGCCACCGTGGACGCTTTGAGTCCCTTGAACTCTGGGAGGGCAGGCCCACCCCAGGGCAGCCATCTCTCGTTCAGCCTCCACGCAGGCAGGTGCGTTCTCCTCAGGGTCCCCCCCCCCCCGGCCTAGCACCCCATCCAGGACTCCAGGGTAATTCTCCGGTCTGGTGAGGGGGCACCATGAGCCGCTCACGGCGGTGCCCCTGGCAAGCATCTGCTTGCCTGGTATTTAGCTGATGATCAGCATGAGTTTGTTGAGTGGCCGAATGAGCCCTTGGGGTTCGGCCAGGCGCCAGCCTGGGCCAGGAGGGCTCCCCGGGGCGTGCTGACCGAGCAGGACGCTTGCACAGGGCCTCGGAGGAATCTGGTACTGAGGCTGGTGTTTAGGGCCAGGGCCAGCCCCCCACCTCCTCTGCGGTGTTCGATGGATGATCGGACTTATGGGAAAGGGGAGCTCAGGGCTGGGCCTGTAGCCTCGAGTCGGGGACGACGGGGCTGTGAGCGGCCTCTTTGGCCTCTTTTCACTTTGTTTCGAACGAGCCGTTGAGAGAGCCTGAAGAGCTGACCTCAGGAGCCGAGGCCGGGATATGCTGTTGCGTCTCTGCTGGCCTGGTCGGGACGCCGTGGTCCCTGCTGGCTGGCCCAGCGTCAGCCCGACCTCGACGGCGCTGTGGCTGTCGTGCCGTCCTGGGCTTTTCAGGTACAGGCCGCCAGCCGGCTTCTGCTCTGCCTTCTCAAGACGCTGGAACTTTCCCGTCGCGTAGCGCAAAGGAGCGGGAAACGGCCCGCTGCCGCTAAGCCCCAGGACCACGTCCCTGGTCCGGAGGCAGCTCCCGTTCGCGCTGAGGCGGCCCCGTTGGGCTGCGCGGGCTGTGACCTCCTGACGGCCCGGCCCGGGAGGAGGCGGCAAGAGCTGGGCAAAAGCGCTTTCCTCACCTTTGCCTACAGCCTCAGGACCGACCAACCTCTCGGCGCCCTTCCCCTTTCCTTGCCCGCCTCCCCACGGCCACCGTCCTCTGGGACCAGAAGCGTGGGCCGCAGCTTCCCCACCTGGCCACGTGCTGCCCTCTCCTGGGGGCGGGGGCCGCGTCCTGCGCCACGGTCTTGCTCTGCGCCCAGAGCCCTGCTCCCTACTTCGGGGAGTAAACTCAGAAATCCCGCATGTGACTGTGTTTGCTGAGGAGCCGGGGAGCGCGGGGCTCGCGGGCCGCCGTGCGACAGGAGGCCCCGTGGCCCACGCGGAAGGTCCGGTGTGGCCGGCGTGCTCCGCTGTGTCACTGGCCGGTCCCTGTGCCTCGCCTCCCGCCCCCAGGCAGGTGCACGCCTCAGGCTGGAACAGAGTGGAAACAAAAATCCGAAAGACGAAAGCACACGGATATATTTTTCGGAACGTGCCTCCCATATCACACGCTGCCGCGACGTAAACAGCGGAGTGAAAGACCAGAGGAGGAAGGCGGCTGCAGTGTGTGGGATCTTGAAAGAGATTCTTGAAAGGCTCCTCCTACGGAAAATACAGATTCCTGAGCGTGAAGTCAGTTGACTTCTTAAGAACCATATTCCCCCAAGCAACTGACCGGCTGTCGATGTAAGTGGTTGTTTTCTTCTGATTACAAAATAACAACTACTCAGTGGAGGAGATTGAGGGAAACAAAATAAGTACCGTTAATTTTCAGTGTGTTTCCTTAACATATGTTTTATAAACCACGGAATGTGCCTGGACTCCTGTCAGGCTATACGTGAGCAAGCAGGTGAGTCGTGGAGTTAAACTACCGGATCGGGGGGTTAAGCTGTGGCTGGGCTACCCTAGCTCCTTCTGACTGGGTTGGAAATCGGTAGCAGGGGGCGCCTGGGTTGCTCAGTTAGTTTAAGCGTCTGATTTCAGCTCAGGCCATGATCTGCTGGTTCCTGAGTTCAAGCCCCGCGTGGGGTTCTGTGCTGACAGCTCAGAGCCTGGAGCCTGCTTTGCATTCTCTGTCTCCCTCTCTCTGCCCCTCCCCCGCTCACACTCCCTCTGTGTCTCTGTCTCAAAAATAAATAAACATTAAAAAAGAAAGGAAGAAAGAAATCAGTAGCAGAAGTAAGATGCTGTTCTAACAGCATCCAGAAATACCGCTCCACGTGAGAGGAGACCGGCAGCCCCTGGCGTGCGTGGTCAGACCCTGGGGAGGCTGGCCACCTGTCGTAACCGGGAGGCACCTTGGCTGGCAGATTCCGGGGAGGAGGCTGGGACAGAGTCCGCTGGGGTGAGCTGGTTGTCACTGGCCGCTTCACGAGGTGCGACAAGGAGATGTGAGCCTCCAGAAGGGACTCGTTTCCAACAGAAATAAAAGGGAATGAAGACAATCGGAAAACTCAACCGCCTCTAGATGATAGAGTAAGAAACTGGGTTAAGGAAGACCTTGAGGGGCCAAAGGGAAATGTCAGCTTGAGGGTGTGGTGCCCAGTTGGAAGCAGGCGGAGCTCAGATGAAGGGTGCGGCTCTTAAACCTACTCAATCTCTCCCTCTGGCTATAATGTCTCAGAGCAAATATTAGAAGAAGACTGTAAACTTCACACCTACTGCTGCCTAAGGTGGCCACTCTCGCACGGCGTGGGAAGAGGCGTGGGGTCAGGGAGTGAGGAAATAAAGCGGATCTGGGAACCGAGTCTTGAAAGAACGTGGGTGTGGTTTCTGGACGTGAGACTGATGGCTGAGCTTCAGATTTGTAGATCCTTCCTTAAAAAAGCCTTTTTTTTTTTTTTTGGGGACATTCTTCCCAAAGCCCACCTGAGAGGAGGCCAAGGAAGCAAAGGAAAAGGAAGAACCTTCTAGAATGTGTTCTTGGAGAGCAGCGAATAACAGGTGGTGCCCTCCTGAAAGCAGAATCCGGGGCTGATCCGGGGACGTTCCCCATCTTGGGTTGGAGATCTGCACCATGGTTGCCCACAAGGATTTCAGAATTCCCACGGACCACTGATTGCTGGGTGTCTCCTGCTTCTCTCTGCTCCGAGCGGGACACTTTCTGGGTATTGCTGTGTTCCTGCAGCATCACCGAGTACAGGCGCATCCAGAGTGGCTAACGTGCACTTTCAGTGGGCAAACCACTGCCCACGGGCCAAACGCAGCGTGTGGCCTGTCTGTGTAAATGGAGTCCAATTGGAGAGGCCAGGCTCAGCTGCTGAGGGTTGTTCTAATGTTTTGTTTATTTATTTATTTTTTTTACTTCTAGGAGAGAGAGAGACAGCGTGAGCAGGGGAGGGTCAGAGAGAGAGGGACTCACAGACTGAAACAGGCTCCAGGCTCCGAGCTGTCAGCACAGAGCCCGACGCGGGGCTCCAACCCACGAACCGCGAGATCATGACCTAAGTGAAAGTTGGACGCTTAACCGACTAAGCCACCCAGGCGCCCCTGCTGAGGATTGTTCTAGAAAGATAGGCCTCTGAACCAAGAGGAGCCACGGCCGATCTGATGCACCTGCTGGAGATTCTGACCTTCCGAGCTGGGCGCTGAGGTTGGATGGGACCCTGGTTGGTCGTCCCCGAGTGGGAATGTTTTGTTTGTGGGGAAAGGAGGGAAATAAGGGGTGTTGGGGGCCCGACCCCGGGGCACTGAGTGCTCACTGAATATCCATGTGCTCTTTCTAGCTGCCTGGAGGTTGCGCCCGGTCAGAGGGTATGCTGTAGACAATAAGTTGTGAGTAGAAATGACTCGAATCACTTCAACCTGAGACACTGAAAGTCCCCTGTCTGGTCCCACATGCTGTCTCATCCCCGTCACGAGCCCTGGTAGTGTCACGTCGTGAGGCTGGGGGCCCAAGAAAGGGACAGTCTGGGGGCACCTGGGTGGCTTAGTCGGTTGAGCGTCCGACTTTCGCTTAGGTCATGATCTCGCGGTTCGTGGGTTCGAGCCCCGCGTCGGGCTCTGTGCTGACTGCCAGCTCGGAGCCTGGAGCCTGTTTCAGTCTGTGACTCCCTCTCTCTCTGACCCTCCCCTGCTCACGCTGTCTCTCTCTCTCCTAGAAATAAATAAAACATTTAAAAAAAAAAAAAAAGAAAGGGACAGTCTGGTGCCCTATGTGCTGCCTTGAAGAGAAGGCTGACATGCATCAGACTTTCTGGGGATGAGAAAGAAACTTTTCTGGGTTAAACCCTGAAATGTGAGGATTAATTTTGTTTTTCCCTCCAAAACTGCTATTCTGACCAGTAGAGAATTACATTACTCCCACATCATAATTCAAATAAAATGGAGTTTTTACTTGTATACAGTTGGCATTCAATTATACAGTTTTTTATCTGCGTTATTAGTAGCTCCCGTCCTGTGTAAAATAGTCTTTGAAAACGTGACTGACTTAATCACTTCCTTATATTTCCTGAATTATTTCATTGATCATGTACAATGCTTGGGAAGGTCTGGTAAGAAGGACAAGTTCATTCATTGCCAGTAAATGAGTAATTTAATGTAGCTTTTCTTTTTTATTTCTTTCTTTTTTTTTTTTTTTTTAATTTTTGAGAGAAAGAGAAAGCACGAGCGGGAGAGGGCCCGAAAGAGGGAGACAGCCAGAGGATCTGAAGCAAGTTCCACGCAGTGAGCACAGAGCCCGACACGGGGCTCAAACTCATGAACGGTGAGATCATGACCTGAGCTGAAATCAAGAGTCGGACACTTAACCAACTGAGCCCCCCAGGTGCTCCCATGTAGTTTTTCTGCTATGCAATTTAATAACACATGTATCCCCTTCGATCTAGTAATTCTACTTCTGGAAACTCACCCTAAGGAAACCGGAGATGTGAGCAAAACTGTATGGAAGAAGAGTTTGTTTTAGCTTTATTTGTAATATCAAAACTGGGAAGGACCTACAATAGCAGCCGAAGAGTTACATAAGGAAGAGAGTGTCTCCAGCCTCTGCCTGTTTGTTGATGTGGTTTGTTCAGATCAGACGGCTGCAGCCGAGGCACAGAACATAGATCTAACAGCTGGCAGGTTGGACGTCCCTGCGGCCACAACGCACCGACGCATCCCCTGCTGGCCGCCCTCGGTGCGGCCGGGCCGGGCCAAGCTTCGCCTCCGTCTCGTTCCTTGGCCACGCGTGAGTCCTGGCTGCAGGGATGCTTCACATGGTCTCTTGGACACCGCACAGCAACAGCCTGACATTTGGTTACATAAAGTGCAAATGAATCACGAACACGTGGATTGTATTTCCGTTCAAATACTCAGGGATTTCGATTTATGGGAAACGGACGGTGGGCTGTACGAGTTAGCGCTGGGTTTTGGGAAATCGCTCAGATGGCTGACCAGATCTTCAGTTCATGCGTGTCCATCTGCCGTCGCCCCAGGTTGTCTCCTTAGCACCCTGGAAATGACAGCTGTTCAATTCCAGGGGCCTCCGGAAAAGACGGGATGCCAAGTGAACTTGCCAAAGTTTCCTGGGGTGTATTCGTTCTGTCCCAAAGCCAGTGAAGACAAGCAAGAGGCAGAATGGACCCTCCCTTCCGCTTGGCTTCTGTGCCGGAATTCTAAGCCTTTTTTTATCTCTTTCTTCGGCATCTTTCCTGCCTTGGTGTTGTGTGTCTGTCCCTTCCATACCTGCCCTCATGTGGTGACATTTCTTCATCCTTCTGGGTTATTTTCAACCCAGGCCCTTGGCATTGGCTGCCGTCTGCACGGAGGACTGTCAGATGGTTGACCCCAGCCCCCGTCCCTCCCCTAACCTCCAGTCCCTGGTCCACATGCCTTCCAGACGCTTCTCCCCTCGGCTCCAGTCCCTGGGTGCTCCGAACTGACTCACGCAAACCACACTCCCGCCAGCCGCTCTCCCTGCATTCGCCATTTTAGTAACTGGAAGTACCATCCATTCGATCACCAGCACCGTTACTTAATCAGTTCAGGAAAGTCCGAATTCTCACTGTGTGCCAGCCACTGACTTAGACACGGGAACACAGAGAGGAAGAAGGTCTAGTTCTTGCCCTCAACATACCGACAGCCCAGTGGGTAGATGGATATGGAGGTGAATGATTATAGGGCTTGGGGGAGCACGCAGAGAGGCTCACACAGCACAGATCGCCTGGGTGGGCCTGGGAGGGACCAGGGGTTCTAAGGACGGATTTAGAAAGGTGATGCCCAGGAGGTGGGTGAAAGGATGAGGTAAATAAACTGGATGGGGTGGGGGGAGGGCGCCGTGCAAAATCCTGGAGGTGAGAAGCAGTATGGTTGGGGGAGGGGGCCTGGGCAGGGGTGCGTAGTGGGGCTGCAGGGGGCACAGGGGCCCGAGAGTGGAGGTTTTACGTCCTTGGTTCATCGGTTTGGGTTTTATCGGAGAGCTTGTGCAGACTCTCGGTGGAGTGTCATGCATGAGGTGCACAGGTTGAGTTTCCATGTCTGGGGGGGGATGCACTTGGGGCAGAAGGCGAGGGAGCCAGGAGGCTGTGGGGGTCCAGCCCCTGCCCCATCCCAGGAGAGCCTAAACCAGGAAGCGGCGAGGGGACCCTAGGGAAGTCACTGTGTCTGAGAGCTGTTCAGGATACAAATTGGCAAGACTTGAATTAAAAGTAGAAATAAGGGGGGGCACCCGGGGGACTCAGTCGGTTCAGTGTCCAACCTCGGCTCAGGTCATGATCTCCTGGCTTATGGGATTGAGTCCTGCGTCGGGCTCTGTGCTGACAGCTCAGAGCCTGGAGCTGCTTCCGATTCTGTGTCTCCCTCTCTCTCGTCCCTCTCCTGCTCATGCTCTGTTTCTCTGTCTCTCAAAAATGAATAAATGTTAAAAAATTTAGAATAAAAGCAAGCATCCCTCCTCATCAGGGAAATACAAATCAAAACCACACTGAGATACCACCTCAAGCTAGTCAGAGTGGCTCAAATGAACAAATCAGGAGACTATAGATGCTGGCGAGGATGTGGAGAGACGGGCACCCTCCTACACTGCTGGTGGGAATGTAAGCTGGTGCAGCCCCTCTGGAAAACAGTGTGGAGGTTCCTCAGGAAACTGACAACAGAACTCCCCTAGGACACAGCAATAGCACTGCTAGGAATTTACCCAAGGGACACAGGAGTGCTGATGCATAGGGGCACATGGACCCCAATGTCCATAGCAGCACTCTCAACAATAGCCAAATCATGGAAAGAGCCTAAGTGTCCATCAACAGATGAATGGATCAAGAAGATGTGGTTTATCTACACGATGGAATACTACATGGCAATGAGAAAGAATGAAATCGGGCCATGTGTAGCAAGGTAGATGGACCTTAAGGGTGTTATGCTGAGCGAAATAAGTCAGGCAGAGAAGGACAAATATCATATGTTTGCACGTATAGGAGGATTAGGAAGAACAACGGAGGACCGTGGGGGAGAAGAAGGGGGGAAATGGTGGGGGAGAGGGAGGGAGGCAAACCATGAGAGACTCTTGAATGCTGAGAACAAACTGAGGGCTGATGGGTGTGGGGGGGAGGGGGTGATGGGCACGGAGGAGGGCACTTGTGGGGATGAGCACTGGGTGTTCTACGGAAACCAACTTGACAACAAACTATTTGTAAATAAATAAATTAAATTAAATTAAAAAAATAAAAAAGTAAAAGCAAGCAGAAATAAGGAAGAGCAGGAGTCGAGGTCAGTTGTGGAGCCCAGCCGGGCCACGGGGAGGCGGGCGATGGTGTCTGGAGGGAAAGCACCGGGGGTCTCGGAAATTATCTCCACGCATTGACTGGTGGCTCCGGAAGGATCCCGTTTCGAGCCCTGCTCCACGGTGCACTGCAGGCCCTCGGGCTCCGACAAGCCCTCCTTCCAGCCCCCCCGACCTTCAGAATCAACCCAGAGCGAGGGCTCCTCCGACCCGACGGCTGTGCCTGCTTCTGTGCTCCCAAAGCCCCCGGGGAAAACCGTCCCGAACCCCACTCCCCAGCGATGCGGCGGCCTCCGGCCCCTCCTCGCCCCGTCGCTCTCCCTCAGAAGCCTCCCGAGGACGCGGCCCGGCTGCTGACCGCACGCTGGGGGGACAGGAAGGCGGTGCCTTCTGGTTACAGAACGGAGGTTCCGCGCATCGAGGAGCAAGGCCGTCCCGGAGGCACCTGAGCCTTGACTCTGTGGCGCCTGTGGCGGTGTGGTCTCAGGGAGGTGTGTGTGTGCTGGTGGCCGTCTGCTGGTGTGACGCGGGGCGGTGGCGACTTCTCGGGGCCCTGTCTGCCTACCAGGTGAGCGGGGAGTTCCTCCCGTGGCCCAACGGCCAAGAGCCCGGAGCAGAGGCCGGTGACCGGAGGGCGGAGGCTCGGGCCTTCCAGGACGGAGCGCGGGGAAGGGCTGGGAAAGCGTGGGCAGAGGTCGGAAGGGCGGTGGGGGGCCGTGGCAAGGGGACCCCAGACGTGAGGCCTTCCCCGTCCCCGGCACTTCAGGACGGGACCCTCGCCGAGGACGGAGCAGGAAGAGGCCACTCAGGTGCGGGGGGCGGGCCTGGGCTTTGGGGCTCCACCTCGGGCCTCGCTGGAGAACCGAGCTCTAGCCTCTGGCTGCAGCACCTTGGAGCGGAGACCCGGCCTGGGGGCACCGGCGGCCCCTGGCAGAGGGGGACCCACACAGTAGTCCTGTGTCGCCTGGCTTAGCGTGCTCTGTCCGCCCCTGCCTCCCCCGGCGTCGCTGGCTGGGCCAGGGAACCTCTCACTGCAGGGCTGAACTGACCTGAGCGGAACCCGCCGGGTCCTCTGGGTTCTGGCCCCTTCCCTCCGCGCCCCAGCAAGGGAGGGTGAAGACGTGCCGGCCCAGGGCTTCCCGTGCAGCTTCGGTGCCGGTTCAGGCTCCCGGCCGTTCCTGTGCCCGCCCCCGCCCTCCCCCGCACGAGCTGGGACCAGAGTCCCTCTCCTTCCGGTTCCCTGCGCCACAGCAGATGGCCTGGCCGCACCTCCGCGGTCGGTCAGCCAGAGATCGGCCGCCGGTACCTGCTGGTAACTTGTCTGTTCCTGCCCTGCTTTCCGGTCCAAGCTGGAGGCGGCGGCCAGGCGCCGGGGGGCACGCCCTGGGGCGGTGCTGGCCACGCGGCTCTTACTGAGGGGAGGGGAGGGATACGAGAGATCGGCACAGAGCCTGGCGCAGAGCAGATACTCAGCACAAGGCAACTATCACCGCCATCACCGCCACCATCATGGCTCATTACAAGTCCTGTACACAGTCTCTCCGTCTCGCACCGCCCGGGCCCAGTGTGGACGGTCCCGCCATCATCTGGACTCGATCAGCGCGGCCGACAAGTGGAGGCTAGAACCCAAGGGCTCTGCTTCCTACGTGGAAAGAGAGAAGACAAGTGTGTAGTCCGAGGGGGAAGCCAGGGGTCCGGGCGTCCCCGAGTTCGGGCCATCCGTGGTCAGCCTGGGTTGGGAAGGGGCTAGGGGGGAAAGAGTAACGTGGGACCACGGGTTCCAGCTGCGGGGGAGCAGGCAGAGGGGCCCCATGAGTGCGGCTCCTGTCGGGCAGGAGACGGCCCGGGTCAGAGCTGGGAGAACGGGAGTCAGGGCCGTTGGTACTGGAGGTGCCCGCTCGGTGCAGGGTCTGTTCAGGAAGACCCGGGCAGCTTCAGCGGACTTCCCGGTGCCAGAAACCATTGTAACTTTCTTCCCTGTGACCCACGCTTGCTTCTGGGCTGCCCTTGGGGGCTCACACGTGGCCCGCTTGGTGGTGGCCGTGGACACATAATGATAACATGATTATAATGTGTATAATGTACACACACACACACACACACACAAGGCAAAACTTTTGCATTAAAGCAATAGTCTTCCAGAATAAAGGGAGGTTCATACCTTGGGTCTGCAGAAAATATTTCAGGATAAATTAAAAATTGAAGAGGTGGTAAGACACTTCCGGATGTGCTTTCCAAAGCACAGAGCGTGTGGAAGTTTGATGGAGCAGGTCCTGGCTGACTCCGCGATGTGTGTGTGGAGGGGGATGTGTACCCGCGTGGGGAGACTGTGGGCCATGCAGACTGACCAGGGCATCGTTGGGTTTCCCTCTCTGACCTTCGAGTGCAGCAGAGTGGTCACCAAGGTAGAAAGAGATTCTGGGGGCAGAGGGCTGGTCGGGACGGGTGGTCTTTCGGACTCTCGCCATTGCTGCGATTGTTTGTCATTGGACACGTCACTTCCCCTCCAGCCTCAGCATCTCCACGGGTGGATGAGAGGTGCACTTTAGGACAGAGGTGCTCAGCTGAACTCGGGGTGGGGGCGCTGCTGGGTAAAGGGGGGCAGCCGGGGCCAGAGCTGCTGCCTAGCCACCCCGCCCTCAGCCAGAGCAACTCCACGTCCATCATCATTGCTTTATCCACTCACACTGTGTAGATCCCTGAGAAACAGGGTCCCCCTGCAA